TTTTTCAAACTTGCAGTAAGTTCACATTTACGCCATTTTTGCGGGTTTTTCTTAGTTCAGCTGATATGACTGGATCCATATATCGTGAAAGACAAGTAAATGATTTTCTTCGATATTCTTCATTTATAATTCTACGATGTATGAAACTATGTCACATTGAACAACATTTTTCTTAGTTCACATAGAAGAAAAATGTATGGAAATGAACATTTCTTTCGGTTTTTTTTTGTTGTTGTGTCAAACCAAAATTACGACCTGCATCTTTCCCGCCGACAGGAGGTTTTAAATTAAAATTAAAATTTTTAATTGTGACGTGATCTACAAATGTGCGTCGCCAGTCGACACAATTTGAATATTACTTGTTGAAAAAATTTCTACAGACTACTCGAATATGTATGAAAATAGGATGAAAAGTTCGATAGAATTAATTATTGTTTTCCGTCCTAAAAAAATTCACGAAAAACCGGTTTTTTTAGACCTCCTAATTCGGGATATCCCCTTAACGACTGAATCATCTCGCATTGTCTTATCTCAAAATTCAAACTTCGAAAAGTGATATTTCATTGCTACCTCGAATATAAAATTTTCAAAATTCAATTCTCGAAATAAACTCAATTTACTTCCGAAGCAAAGGATTTCTTTCACCTCGGAGCACCGCGATTCATTTTTCACGCCGGTAGTGCCATCTATGTACATAAGCCTAATTACACGCGTCAGTTATATGTATACAGACGAAATGAACATTGGAGGCAAGAGCTGGAAAAACTTTAAATGATACGAGAAACGATTGCACTATGTAAATATCAATCGTTATTTGTTTTGTGAAGAAAAACACTGTTTAACACGTTGGTTGCCAAGCTAAATCTCGTGAAAATTGTTAAGTTAAAATTGTTGAGTTAAAATTTTGTCTCGAGACTATTAAAAATTAGATAATTTAACATCTATCGTAGTATTTATATTTTTGAACGTCGTCAAATTCACGAATCCTGTCCAGAATTATTTTCATTATTGTCTCACCTTTGAAATTCAATTTTTTTTTTTTTTGTTTCTTAATAAAGAGTCCTGTCACCCATTTCTGGATGAGGTGGCTACCAACGTGTTAAAGCAGTATATAAAGTCACCCGGACGTTCGTTAAACCGAAAGAATTTATCCTCGCGAACTGTACGCGCATTTGTTGGTAACAAGATAGATTTCACGAACAGAAAATGCTTCTCGAACGACACCGTTTGAATTACGCTAATCCGCTGTGTCGTAAGAAGTAAATCGCAGAGTGCTTTTTCGCGTCTGTATCGATGTTACAGTGACCGAAATAAGGATGCAGGGTAAAAGGATCGATATTGACCTTCTGACATGCACGCGTACGCGATACCTTCGTCGAAATACTATAAAAATAGAGAAAACGTTTCGTAATATTTTTAGATTCGAAACTGATAACCCTATGATGGTAAATCGTACAGAGAAGTAAACTACACTTGGTAAATTATGTACATATATATATCTCGTCGGTAAAACACCTTACGAAATGTACTTTTCGTTTATCGAGCCACGAGTACACTTTCCTCATGTTTAAGCTATCAACGTTTACAGGGTAAATACTAAATAAGAAACGAAAGTAGTTTACGAGCTTCGCGATACCTCAAAGGTAGAAATGGCTGCGGTAATTTCATCTCGTGTCCGGTGGGTATTATCAAGGTTCGATACCGATTGTAATAATCCAGCCCGATATTAATTTCTTTTCCTCGCGTAAAAATAATTTACCGACGCAAGTCCTGATAAACATCAATTCTTTATTCCCTTCCAACGTACCAACCGATAAATTCCTCGGAGACATTATCCAACGGCACTAATAGGGGGCGATGTGGATGCATATTGGCGCGATTGTGTACGAGGCTAATCATCGAAACGTATTCCGTACTTTCGATACGTAAATGAAGAAGAAAAAAAGAAAATTGTACCACGAATCGCGATATTCTGATTGGAAGAGAATTAACACGTTGATCGCCATGTCACCCACATATGGGTGACAGTGGTTTTCACTGAAGAACAAACAGAATTAATTTTGAATGTTCAGTAACAAAGAAAATGAATTTGAATTAAATTCTTAAACTTCAACGAAGTTATACAAATAAATATTACTATAAATGTTTGATTATGTAGCTTCCAATAGTCTAGAAACAAAACTTAATCACAATAGAAATTTTCAAGAGCATCAGTCTGGCAGTAAACGTGTCAATCTGAATGAATTAAATGATAATGCACGACTGTAAATACAATTATAATAATGCATACAAAAGTTGATCTATGAATTCTAATTTGTTACAAATGAAGAAAGAAATATGAAAATTGTGTACTTTTGCCAATTAAAATCGCATAATATCATTATTACCATTATTAATAATTAAGTTTAATAATACTTATAATTTTCATAACATTAGTACTATTCGGTATTAATCTATTTGATCGGTATTTGATCTATTAGGAACGTTTTCAGATTGACTGATCGGTAAAATATGTACAATAATAAACATAATTTCCCTCTTAATTTTCTGTCTTAATCTCAATTTGCAACAAAACAGAGTGATGTTCATTAAAAAGGAGAAATAATATTGACCCCGTCTAAGTTAAATGATAAAGCCAACCGAAGGTCAATAGAAACGCATGGTCACTGATCAGGCTATAAAATAAAATGTCTATAATCAATAACATCATTCAGCTTTTTTTTTTTGCACCGTATTTTGCAGTATATTATTAATAACCTTTATAATTGGAATTCGATTTAATTGAATAATAGCAAACAAAAAAGAAAATTTAATTTCGTTCGAATTCATTTAGAAACAAAAATCAATTGACTTCATCGTTAATAATATTAACATACAAAATACTTGACTATATCTGATCGGTAAATTATTCGAGAATAACTACACAATACTACAGAATAACGAACAAAGACGCATTGTTCGCTAAATTAATTGATCTATTTGCCGAAATAATGTACTTATACCATTTTTATATTATATTATACCACTTTACCGACCAGTCAATCTGAAAACGATCCCAATAGATCAAATTAATACTGAATAGTACTAATGCTATGAAAATTAAAAGTATTACTAAATTTAATTA